TTATAGATGTATATTTTCTAATTAGATGGTTACAGGTGTATATTGTCTAATTTTATGCTTACATATTATATTGTCTAATTAGATGGTTATAGATGTATATTTTCTAATTAGATGCTTACAGGTGTATATTGTCTAATTAGATGCTTACAGATTATATTGTCTAATTAGGTGGTTATATAATTATTCTAATTAACATTTGTTTTTTCACGAAATTATGGATATCTCAGTCTAATTAGATGACTATAGCTGTAATTTGCAGATGACACAAATTTATTTAAATTCCTACAAACTAACTCTAATGTCTAATTAGATGATTATAGATGTATATTTTCTAATTAGATGGTTACAGGTGTATATTGTCTAATTTTATGCTTACATATTATATTGTCTAATTAGATGGTTATAGATGTATATTTTCTAATTAGATGCTTACAGGTGTATATTGTCTAATTAGATGCTTACAGATTATATTGTCTAATTAGGTGGTTATATAATTATTCTAATTAACATTTGTTTTTTCACGAAATTATGGATATCTCAGTCTAATTAGATGACTATAGCTGTAATTTGCAGATGACACAAATTTATTTAAATTCCTGAAAACTAACTCTATTGATCTTTCTAATATTAATAATAATTTTGAAAATGTTGTACAGTGGTGCAATGCTAATAAATTAACAATTAATGTAGAAAAAACAAACTATATGATCCTGAAAACCCCGCAAAGAAAAGTAAAAGTGGAGGGACAGCTCGCTATCAATGATACGTTTGATAGAGGGCGTTTCTAAAGCCACTTATCTGGGAGTAACCATTGACCCATGCCTAAATTGGAATTCTCATATTGAAAAAAATGTGAAAACCATTAGTCCCAAAGTGGGCATTATATCTCGCATTCGTCACTATGTTCCCAGATTAATTCTCATCCTACTTTACAACACATTTATTCTCCCACACTTAATGTACTGTATTGAAATCTGGGGAAACACATACCCAACGAGTTCTGCTCTTACAAAAAAAAGTTGTGCGCCTTGTCACCTTCTCGCACTTTAATGCACATTCTGCTCCTCTTTTTATCCAATTACGCATACTTGATATTCACAAACTTTGTAAATTACAAACCTGCCTATTTATCTTCGACCTTAAACACAACATATATGCACAGCCTCAATAAGTATGTTAATGATTACCAACATTGCTATCCCACAAGTTCAGTGTCTAGCGGTAATTTGTCAATTCCTGCTGCTCAACTTACAGTTTCACAACATAATTTTAAATTTGCTGCAGTAAAACACTGGAATTCACTTCCAGACTCCCTCAAAAACATCACCAACAGAAACAATATTAAATATGAAATGAAACATTATTTGCTTTGTTAAATTCCTCGATTACCTCTCATTTCTCTGCAATTTATTTTTCTTTTCTTCTGCATATAAATTCGTTGTACCAGTAGTTCGTTTATATTATTATTACACATAATATTTTAGTCATATTTATATCTAAATCATATAGATTACCTTTTAATTTTCGTTTTGTAAATAGTATTTTTTTTCCTTTACGAGTAAATTGTAAATTTCAACTGAGCCATGGACTGGACTAGTCCATAAGGACTATTTCCATGGTCCACGCCGGAATGACTACTATTGTATTTTGTTTATAAGTTCTGTTATAATGGTCATTCTGGTGAAATAAATATGGTTACAGGTGTATATTGTCTAATTAGATGCTTACAGATTATATTGTCTAATTAGATGATTATAGATGTATATTGTCTAATTAGATGGTTATTGGTGTATATTGTATAATTAAATGGTAATAGATGTATATTTTCTAATTAGATGGTTACAGGTGTATATTTCTAATTAGATGCTTACAGATTATATTGTCTAATTAGATGATTATAGATGTATATTGTCTAATTAGATGGTTATTGGTGTATATTGTATAATTGAATGGTTATAGATGTTTATTTTCTAATTAGATGGTTACAGGTGTATATTGTCTAATTAGATACTTACAGATTATATTGTCTACTTAGATGATTATAGATGTATATTGTCTAATTAGATGGTTATTGGTGTATATTGTCTAATTAAATGCTTACAGATTATATTGTCTAATTAGATGATTATAGATGTATATTGTCTAATTAGATGGTTATTGGTGTATATTGTATAATTGAATGG